GCTGTTGGACGGCCTGAGGCCCAGGTTTGAACGGCCCGTGGGAGCAGCGCAGAGGAAGAATGGGTATCTGTGATGGCTGGGGGATCACTACGCTTGGCAGTATGGAACACAGAGCGAATGAAGGGCAGGGGGTGGTGAGAGAGAGAAAGGCATCGCATTAAACAGTAGTGGGTCATTTTAATGTGTGAGGAACTCGCACTCAGCACGATCCCAAGCCGCTACCCGCCGGCAGCACCTCGGTGCCAGCTTGGCGCCGTGCTCCAGGCCGCCACGGCCAGTCTGACCGGAGTCCCGGCACCACATGTCCGCAGAGACCGAAGTCACATGTTCACGCGCGCTGTGGGGAATTTTAAAACTGCCCGTCTCATCTCTGTGAAAACCAGGGGCTTTAGTGCACAGGCCCAAGTCACACAAGAAATGACACTCAAACGGTAAGGAGGCCGTTTCAGGAGAGCACGCCCTCCGGTGGTCGGCTGGCAGGGCGCCCAGTCCTCTGCAGAGGCAACCCTCTCATGTTAGGAGACGGCTTGGGACCTCCTGACCTAGTGAGTCGAGTGAGGCTCTAGTTACCGTGGAGACAGCTGTCTGGATACTCCCGGAGGAGCACTCGCCCCAGGAGTGCGGATGCAACCCTGCGGCCTTTTGTTCATCTGCTACTTTAAATGTCTCACACGATAGATCTCTTAAACCCAGCTACCTTTGTTGGAAGCAGATTTCGTACAGAATATCAAAAAAACAAAAAAATCAAGTTAAGAGTCGTGGAGCTGTTTTAGTTGTTGAGCCTTGCAGGAGCAGGGATGGCTTAAGCTTCTGAGTATGCTTGTCAACAATCCCATATTATGCAGCTTTTAGCGGCACCTAGTGGCTGCAGAACGTTACTACAAAACTTTCAAGTATACTAGCATTGGACATGTAGTACTAAACTTAAAAGCATTCCCAAACCAATATTCCCATACTCATCTATGATCAGATCTCTATAACACTACCACAATGGACAATTTAAAACACACCAGTGGCAATGGCAGATAAACAATTAGAAATCTGAAAATAAGAAACACATCTATCTTGACTTGACTAATGAATAGTAAAGTGGGTTTGTATGTATATCAATTACAAGCTACAAACTTGCTTTGTTATTCAGTGACCTAAATCAAATATTTAATTTCTTTGGAGGTGAAAGTAAAAGATTGATGCGTTCTTTTTCTACAGAATCTGGAATTTCAACACCTACAGACAGCTCTTTCTTGCCAGTCACACAAACTGCAGTGATTGGAATAGGCTGACATTCGGTACGTCATAGTGACATTACCATGGTAACAGCACCATGGATACTCTCAGCCACGACCTGCAGGTACATATATAAAACACATACCACAAATTAAATAAAATAAAATAAAAAAACAGGTTGCCAGACACAGTAGTGCAAGAACAGCGGGAGGAAATTGAACATTCAGCACATCGATCGGAGGTGACAAGGCTAGATCTCACGAACCGGACCAGGGCCCATCTTCACCCGGGTCCCAGTCACTCAGCTCCTCCACAGGGCCACGACAGCCATCCATTCGCTCAGAGCCTGTCTGCACTCATCAGCTTCCACGTGGCCAGAGAGATGAACCCTCAGGCAAGTGGAAGAAGCGGAGAAGAGCTAGCTCCATGGTGACGGGGCCCGGGGCCCTTGGGCATGCTAAGGACTGCTGACACCAAAGCAACCCTGGAAACTGCAGGAAAGCTCCTGGCAACCAGGGGGGGGGGGGCAGGGGGCGGGGAGCAGTGCTCTGGTTCTCTTCCCATCTGCGCAGCTGGGTTCGAGATCAAAGCTGACAGACACATTGCCGACCCAGAGGTCAAGGGCGACATCCAACAGACTGTGACTGAAGCCGACCGTCATTTCCATATGCAAATAAACACAGCAGCATGTGTGGGACGCTCCTACTGCCAACTTCTGCTTTTAAAGTGTGCACACGATGTGCTTTCCTTGGCGTTGCTATCGGAAACCAAGTAAACAGGGACTCAATTGCTCGCCACGAGACAAGCTAACCAGCCCGGAAAGGTGACCAGTCCGCAAAGTTCATGGGCTGTGTCGTTTTGCAAGGACTGGCGAAGGAAACGACTGCGGTCTCTGTTTTCATGCGACATCAGTTGTTCCTGGCAGCGGAGATTTTTGGCCGAACTGCGTTTCCTGTTTTACTGATGCAGATGCTGGCAGACAGACAGCATCGAGTGTAAGCCACACTTAAACTGCCAAAAATAGAGCAGAAATCTGGCATTCAGGTAGCTGGCATTACGTTTCTGCTGCATTTCATACCAAAAACTCTTTGTAAATAAGAGAAATTAGACTTTCCCCCGGCTGCAATTGGATTATCATACATTTTCAGTCCGTGCTAAATGGTCAAAGTGGGTTCAGTAACCAGGTGGAGGTGGAAATAACAGCAGTCGTTTCTTAAATCAGGACAAAAACCCTCGTTTTTTCATAAGACTCACGCCACACTGTTTTCACTGCTGGCGGGGAGACCAACGTGATTGAAATATAGACTCCAATACAAGGCTAATTATACATTTTTTGCAAACTTGTGTTGAATTACTGTCTGGAATATAAGGCGCTCAGTCATACTTATTAGAACTTACGGATACAGAGCTTTTTAAGAATCATTAATCAGGTAAAAAGACTGCAACTGCTCATACCAGTAAGGGCTGATTTATTCCACCAAGGTTTCAGACTGCAGTTAGCATAAATTCACTCCACCTACACTGATCCACAAACAGGGAGAGGATTGTACCAGAGGCTGTGAGAGTCTGTTCCTGATATAATGCTGCACATTAGGCATTACTCTGAAAAAGCTTTCAGTTACAAGTATAGGCGCCAGATGATGGTGTTTTGGCCATCGCTGCACGATATGCTGTTTCAGTGAGTGTAGTAAGGAGTAGTGATTTGTCTTCGAGGTGATGGACAGCCCCTTGTGCCTCTGATTCTTCATACCGCTGAGTATGATATTATGCCAAAAGGATCTGGAGACAGAGGAAATCAAGTCTTTGACCATTTGGCCATTGGGCTAATCCCAGTAATCCGGTGCAGTTACAAAGTTACAGGACTGTAGCTGCGACGTTCAAAGTAGAAGTTAAGCGGCGCTACAGCACATCTAACTTTTAAAGCATAGAAAATGTACTGTTGCTTTAATTAGCTGCAATGCTTCTCCTTATAGGCGCCTACCAATACTGCAGGAGTATCACATATGTTTCGGAGGTGGGGGGTTCGGGCTGATTAGGTCCCCAGCAATCTTGAAAACTACGCCCTCGTTTCATTACATGTGTGAGATCAGAGTCGAATCACAAGTGTATCTTGATACAAAAGCATCATCATTAGTCACAGTTTCGGCCTAATGGTAATTGGGGTTTCAGGTTATTTTTGTTGATGCGGGAAACGTGGTTATTGCTGCGAAATATCCCACGATCTTAACTGCGCAAGGTAAGCAGCATACAACGAAGCATTGTGTTCCACAGCCGCGAGCGGCGCGGTGCACAGGCTGATCATCACAAGGGGGCGCCAAAACCCAACGTCGTAGCTGAAATAAAGCCAACTCAAAATGTGACTAAAAACTCAGAGTTCAATGCAATAAAGTTTAATTACTACAATTTTTGTAAACTAAAAATAATTTCCCTGAAAAGACAGAAGCATTCAGTTCTGAAATAACACTACTACGTGTCAATTTACTACAGCTAAAAAGACACAACAAAAAAGGGGAAAAAAATAGAAAATAGACGTCATGATGAAAAGTAGGGCTGCCACTATCAATAACTGAGAAATCTACCGATTAATCGAACCATTCATCAAGTAATCGTTTATAATCATATCATTCTGTTATGGGTTTTATTTTATTATATTGTTTTCGTTTTGTTTTACAAGTGCTTTCTGGCACTTGCCAAGGTGTCATTGTAAATCAGAAACCGTTCTTCATGCTTTGCCTAGTAAAATAAAGGTTTTGTGTGTGTGTGTTATATATATTTATTGCGATGGGTGTACACTCAGACACACATACAGAAAATCTAGGCACTCCAGTTCACTTAAATTGCATGTTTTTGGATAGTGGAAGGAAACGGGAGGATCCGTCGAAAAAGCACGCACACTCGGAGTGAACATGAGAGCTCCATAAACCCATAGCGGCGGTGTGCTGCGACAGTTACTGTGCCACTGTACCGCCCTGACAGGCTTTCGCGATGGGCGTTTCATGCACATGCAACTGTCACATCGCGAAGACTGTGCGTTCAAAGTTTCAAACCATCAATAAGTGGCGGCGTGGCGCCAAAACATTTTTACTGTGTCATAGGAAACCAAACGTAGCAAGCTTTGCAATTTTAATGATGGTTCCTTTTCACCATGATCTAGTTTGTTTTTTTGTAAACTCTAAAGTTTACCGCTGGTGCTTTTGCATGAGCTCCACATGCGCTCTGCGGTACAATCACAACCATTCATCGTCCTTGCTGTTGGACTCACTCAGATCTTGTGCGCATTTGTGAGAAATTAAACGAAAGTGAGCGAAAAGGAGAAAAGTGAACAATAACTGGTCTCGAAAATACATTCGTTTCCTGCAGTATGGAAATATTTTGTATTCCACATAGATACTATACGATAAGAAATTTGTCATCTGCTTTTCTGCTGGCACAACTAAAGGCACTAACATTTTCCAGACTTTGTTAGATAAGTTCAATTTGGCTATGCAGTTAATTGTCAGCTCACAATTAATCGCAAAACCTTAAAATATGCAAATATGAACTTTTTCCGGTTCAGCTCTAATACACAATACATTCACAAAAATAATTAACATTAATTGGTAATATGTACCGTATTATGTAAAATGATGCAGCTAAGCGACGGGGCTAACCGTTTTAGCAGCGATTATTTTTGACATACAGCAATCATAAAAAAAATAATAATAATTTAAGCCAAAGTGATGACAAAGACAGGCTAAGCTAAGGCACTTATTTATGGCTAACCTCGCATTACTGGGTGAGTCTGTCAAACCTGAATGTCTTCTTCTAACATGCATTTGCATTGCAGTCATTCTGTACTGATAGTAAAGTTATCCTTTGCAGTACTGACTCATTCAATTTTAAAATGATGCCCTTTCATGCAAATGATGCGTTTGTTCTTTATTTGGATGGTCAGCCTTAGCGCACGGTCTTCCCTCGTGACAGCCGTAAAAAGATGACAGCGGCAGACAAAACAGGGCAATTATAGTAAGAGATACTAACCGCGCACTTGCATTTCTCTAACAGAAGGGGGCAGCCGCAGTCCGCAGCGATATCTCAGAGCTAAAGCGTGACGCAGGCGTTTTTGGGCTCTCGCTTCAGCCAGCAGAGCCGGAGCCAAACTAAATAAAATGAAATTATCCATCTGTCCAAACGCAAAGGGAGAGAACTCCATTTGTCAACTGTAAGTCCCGTACGTGTTCCCGTCGCCTGCCTGAGTTATGATTCCGCATTAGAATTATCAAGTAAGTACTCCATATTGAAGTGATCTAATGTCCGTTTTTTTATTTGTTTTAACTTAATGTCAGTAACAGAATAAACTACACAGGTCCACTGTTACAGTCTCACAAAAAAAAGATAAAAGGGGGGAGGGGCAGTTGAACTAAAGTTAGAACAGCACAGAAAACGGCATTCTCACGCAGCCTCGGGCACGATTTGAATTCTCTAAATATTTACCATTACTTTCGGCTATATGGCTCAGCGTCTAATCAATAAAACCCTAAAAGACGTGCATCTTCTCGGATGCGTCGCTTTCTCTCCCAAACACCTCCAGAAGCCCAAAGGGGCACTGAAGTAGTGATTTGTCTGGAGACAGACGACGCGTGTGGTTATCTGGGTAGAATACGTGTCGTCTGGTGATGGGGAAAGACCAAAACATAAAACAAGTCCGGACCGATGCAGAGCCGCTGTTTTCACCGTAGCGCCTCGATGGCGGCATCTCGAGCCAGCCAGATGTGAATTCCAGCTCCGAGATTTACGGCGAGAAAGCGGTGATTGCTATGCAATCGCAGCAACAAGGGAAGCTTCGACCGCAATCTCTCGTCATCTGTATAATATCACCAATAATGACAAGCTAGACACCTCACTAACACGCTGCATCAGCGCATAATTTCAATAGGGGCGGTTTTAAACGGCGTCCCCCACGCGCGAGGCGGCCCCAGCGCTGATCCAAAGTGGCGGGCTGCCGCTGACCTCGCGCCCTCGAGCTTTCGGCTGGTTTCCATAGAGACAGAGGCTAGCGGTGCGTTCGGCCGCGGGGTTCGCCAACGATGCGAGAGGATGACTGAGAATACACTTCAAGCGGCTCTTCAGCACGAAATCAGCAGCTGCTTCAAAGTCGAGCACGACGTGTAGCCAGTCAAGGGCATGCCTGCCTTATCTGCACATTTGAACGCAAGACACGGACGGAGCTTCCACTTCAAAGCACACTATCTTACAAAGCAGCATTGCCTTATAGGCAATTATCTATAATAAAGCCATGCTTCTACAATTAAATCTATAAGCTATAATATATTAATTATCAAAGAATTTCCTGAGTACTCCAGTCGGGGCTGGACTTACCATAAGGCACATAAACTCAGAATTTCCATAAGTTACATTTATGTATATTAGATAAATGATGATTTAAATTACAGCAACATCTGTTCTTTGAATTTTAAGGACAGTTTTCAGGACAGGCAAACTTGCCCTGTCCTGGATGTACAGTAATAGACTGTTCCTACTTTGACACATACCGCTACCCAGCTTTTTCACACTGGAGTCTAGTGGTATGCTATTGGTTGTTTCATTTCCAAGTGAACCAGCACAAAGTAGCCTAACAGAAGTGGATAACAGTGCAATGATACAAGACCAACATTACATCTATCCAACTAGAATGGTTAACAAATTGTAAACATGTTGAAAGAATACAACTGAACGAATGGATCCAAAAAAAAAAACTGAAGACTAACCTTAGCCTTCAGCGGAGTGAGGCAAAGTGTATCCTAGGCGACAGCCTAGGGCCTCGGCAAAGGAGGGAATGGTCAAGCTTCTTAAATTTAGTTGATCAATCTGCCGGCGTTATACCCCAACCCCCCCGCTCTGTACATTTTCCTGACAGCACTCCAGCACGCACCCTGATCAGTAATTTATTTATTTATTTAATCACTGGCACCCTATGCTTTGATTAGTATATTATTGATGTGCCATCATTTTTAATTCTGTCTCATTTCTCTTTTAGATCCAAATAAAAAAAAATGCTCAAGACTCATGTCAGTCTAGGGTCCCCTGAGAAGTTTGTCCACCCCTGGCCCCAGTAAAGTGTTGACCCTCAAGAAGGATGAGGTCATTAAGCCTAGTTCATATCCCACTTTTCTGCATGCGCTTATGTTCCATGGACAGTTGTACACACAGAACCTCATGTTCATACTACATTTGTCCGTCGACTCAGATGGTTGTGGTTGGTGAATCCATACAGCACTGATATTCCACCAGACCAAGAGAGGGCAGATGTACTGCAACAAACACAAATACAAGCAGTGTGGTGAAACAGGTAAACTTTTAAAGTTGTGAGTCTAGGCTTGGGAGGTATTAAGGTAATATGGCATACTGCGGTATTTTCAAATCCTAAATCCTTATGACAAAAGTAACTGGGATCCCTCCCCAGCAAATTATTATCATGATTTCCTGGGAATAGTTTTACTTTTGAAAATACATAATACCACGGTATAATGTCTGGATAGTATAAATTATCTGGACAGTAAAAATTAGCTATGCGGATACCTCCGCACATCCTGCAACAATTCTTATTCTCTTTCTTGGTTGACCTCTGGTCTGTGAAAGTCAGAGCTGCCACCTGTAGCAAATACCTAGTCAGTTTCCTTGCACATGCACAGTTGATGCACACTGATGCACATGATCTTTGGTGGACATGAAAATCGAGGATTCATGTGCACTATCCGGCGCAAACCCCTGATAATGAAATTTACGTCACTCACCCTGTGCGTGGACTAAAAACTCACAAGGAAAAGCGAAGTATAAATTTGCCTTTTCACAGACCAAATCAAGCAACCATGGGCACAAAGACCACCTAAGCTGAATACCCCAAACAAAATTAACAATATTAAACTTTTAGTCCATTTGACACAGTGTGGAATAGGTCTGGTTTTAGCCTATAGAGGGCAACAGAGAACCAGCAAACCTTTTGTGAGCAGAGACACATTGGCATCAGAGTTGCAAAAGTGGTTCTGATACTCATTTAGATGTTTCCAAATATCCCCACCTGATGGTTCAGCAAGAGACATCTTAGCATCTTTAAATTCTGAGATAAGAGGCACCATAGGTGATACGCGCACAGTGACAGCGGCCTCGTGGTCTTGATTGATGGAACAGACCGAGCACAGCAATAATTAATAAACGCACTGGGATGGGGGCCCAGTTGATGCCACTAACACTGCCTACATCTGCTGCTTGCCACTGGGGTTTATGGCCAAAGAGCCACAGAAGTGCTGAGGAGCAGGAAGAGAAGGGAGGCAAGGAAGGAGGGGGCACACAGACACAGCAGAGACATGGCAACGGGTCAGCGAGTGCCGGCACATCCCTGCCGGTCATGTCGGGACATCTGCCAAGGGGTGTCCCTGCGGTGGGAGTCAGCTGGTACCATCATATTCCTCAGAAGGGGTCACCGAGAGCTTGTGAAGACCAGCGGCAGTGTTCACCACCACTCAAACCACTCATTTATATCAGGCTGCTGTTGGCCACAGTCACTACATTTATTATTATATTTAATAAACACATTGCATGTTCTGATAACCAGATAGCTAGACTCTACTTGTTAGCTAACTAGCTAATTTTAACGTTGTAAGTGATTGTATCCTCCAAGTGCCTTTTTGAGTGGGGCTCAAGAACCATTCTAGCCCCTGGTGAAGATGCATCGCAAAAGCCTAGCCCGCACCCTACATCTTCCTCAGTTCCCCAGCACTTCCAACACAGACTGCCTGGAAAAGAACCTTCAATCCTAGCCTGTCATAAGATGACAGAAAGTTGATCATAAAAGAGTAAATCAAAAACGCATTTGACCTAAGACAATCTCAGGAAAACAAGTGAGCCTTCCCAAGATTACACAGGACTCGGATATACTGAGGCTGGATTCACTCCATACTGGTCATCAAATTCCCATTTCCACAGATGGGGGGAATTTATGTATTGACATGATGACTTCAAAAAAAGCTTTTCCAGGAACCAGAAGACAGTCAGCTTATCTGGAGTATCACACCCATAAGGAGGAGAGACATGCTGAACACTCAGCCACTTTTTTCCACGAGTAGGGGCTCTACCACAGTGCACCCCAAGGCTGTTCGATCATTCTAGGCTACGTCTAACAACCAAACGGTGACAGGTGGCCACTTGGAGTGACGGCTGTCTTTGAGATGTTACACAGGGAGCGCATGGCCCGCAAGCAGAGGGGTTGCTGAGGTCAAGGGGTCAACACCCTGGGTTATGCCACTGTCACTCAACATGAGAGCCTAGCCGAGGTCTCATGTCAACAACAGTTAAGCGCTGGTATATCTGACAAAAACCACAGTTTCCAAAAAGAAGGAACAATTTCACTACATTAGTGTTTCCCAATCCGGTCCTTGGGAGTCGCAGACAGTGTATGTTTTTACTGGGACTTGGGAGGGTCTTGCCGTCTGGCAGGGAGCTGGGAGTAGGCTTGCCACCTGTCTCGTATAATAGCAGTTTATTTTCCAATGCGGGATGATTCCATATTATAAGGGATGTGTGGCAACCCTAGCTGGGAGGGAGCAAAAACATGAACCGTTTGTGGTTCCCCAAGGACTGCACTACATTAAACAGTATTCAGAATAAGGGGTGGGCGATCTGACGGTTTTATGTCATGATCGATCTTGAAAACTTTCACAATCTACTTTTCCTGCAAATAGAGGTCACAACCTTTTATGTCATCCTACTAATATTTTCAAACTTCGCATAAAATGACCAGTGATGAACGTGTCACTACCCAGTCTGTACCACACATCCTTGCCCTGCATGCCGACAGCTCACACCGAATTGTTTTTCAAATATGTCACACATGAAAGAAACCCTGAGATAGAGATACTTGATATTTGGCCAGTCGACATAGCCATCTAGTAGGAAGTCATTCTGTCGGTTTGCGAATGTAGCACGGATCCAAGGTGTCACTACCCATTCCGTACCACCTGCCCAATCTGTACCTCGCATGTCTTTGCATGCTCAGTATTTTTGAGCATGCGTGCACCGCATAATATTTTCTAGCACTGCCTGGTCCTTTCATTTTACAGCATGTTGTCTATTTACAGCAAAGTATAGTGGTCGCTTGATTGGGAAGCAAGAACTGGTATTAATGATTTTAACAGAAAAAAATAAATCTTTTTTATATTTCCATCACTTAAAATTGCTGTTATTCAGTGACTTAGTATTTTGGTATACTTAGAACTTGAATCTGACTCTGAACTGAATGGACATGTATGCTCATCCCACCGGTGCACATAACAAGACAAGTACAGGTACTATACAAAACTTTTATTAAACAGACAGAGAACACAAAGAATCCAAAGTCAAAATATCTGGCTTAATATGCCATTCTGGGCTGGTGGAGATTACTCACAAGCAGTCTGTAAAATGAACCAGAAGTACTGAAAAGAAACCTTGATGGGATCAGGTTAGGTTATAAAACAAAGTGGTACAGTGAGATGTTTCACAAAGGAAAGTTATCAGTAAACTTTGTTGGGCCATGGTCAGCACTTGCGCAGGTAATATGACAAATCTGTCTCAACCACCTTAAAAGGAAGCATCTGACACTACTTTAATATTTAAAATAAAGTTTAACTCAGGATTTAATTACCATTTTGAAAACTCTTTAATGCAATATTGTCTTAAATGGTGCTAATGGATAAGTCCTTAGGCTTGTTCGAGTCTGGATATTCTTAACAGAACATTTCAAAATTGGGATTCAAATGCTTATTTTAATTCCTATTTTCTGTAAAGCACTTAGTTGTTTAGTACGGTGTTGTATAAATAAAGACCGATTGAGTGATTGTCAGAATCACTCCAAATTACTCAAAAATGCCAGAACATAATGTCTTTTGTACTGGGGGGGGGGGGGGGGGGTCATTAATCTGACCTATGACTCACACACCATTTCCAGAACAACCTATAAGCAGTAAACCAAGTTCAGTTAGCCCTAGTGAACAGTGTCAAGATTCAAGAGCAGTGAGTGTGAAGGTGACATCGTGTCAGTGTCACCCTGGCTGCACATGGTGACCTGCTCAAGGATGTGTGTCAGCGTTTACAATCACTTCCTATTTAAACCAATACCTTTAGGACAGGCACAAACTGGTCCCACGACAAAAGATATAATTGTATTGTCTGCTGTAAAGAAAAAACAATCATAAATAATAACTGACTCTTGTCAGAGTATCCCGATTTTACAGACTGGGGGGTTCTAGGCAAGAGTCTGATGCATGAGGCTGGACTGGAGAACAGCATCAAGGCCACGGCACTGGGGGGAGCAACATAAGGAAGGCAACCCCAACCCACATTCACCTGGATAAACAGTCTGAGTGCAAGGCCGCACCCCGCCTGCCACACTTCCTGGCATCTGCAAGGACACCACAGTTTCTAAGATGATTCAGGAAGAATTACCACTTGGGTTTGCATGAAGGGTCCGGAACATTCCGCCACACAGGAACACACTTATCAGGCAACGATTATAAGGAAAAGAAGGGGAAGCAATCAAGGACCCAAAACTTTGATAAGTATTATCTTGTGTCTAAGAGCATGAATTTCCTTTTTGTTGAAGAATCCTATTGAATGCAAAGCCACCCAGCTGCTGATCTTGGAATGAAGAGTTCAATCCCAGTCATCTGGCTAGATGCTGGAGTGTGTGGGAGTATTGGGGGTCAATTTGGAGGAAATTTCCTTCGAACAACAAACTCCATCTGGAAAGGTGAATTATGGGATGTTTCATGGTTGTCTGGCAGCTAAGTAGATGCTGGTAATAGGGTTTGAGGACGTTATCATTGATCAGAGACAGCGAGATCCAATAACCACCTGTCCAAGCCCACATCACATTGATCGTCGGCAGGGTGCTTGGGTTCCTGTTTAGGTTACACAGTGTAAAGTGTTTGGGGCCTAAGCATCATGGCTTACCATCTAATTCTGTGCATCAGCTCCTGATCCAAGTATTTATACTCACACAGCAGTCTCCACCAGGCCCACTTCGGTGAGATGGGATCTGTGGGATGAACCATGCACCCACAAACTCCGAGGGGGGGGGTGGCACCCATCATAGTGAGACAATGGACAGCAAAGGGAACCCATCAAAAAGGCAGCCACCCACCCCTTCACTCATATGCACCACTTCTACTCCCATTAATTAACTAGCAATTGTCCGGAAATATGGGTTTCCTCAACTGACATTAAAAGCTATAAAATGAGAAGCACGAGTGCCCCCCCACGGATCCAGCCTGGCAGTGCCGTTGGCTCCACCAGGCCAAAGCGTGCGTCTGTTCTGCAATAACATGAAGAAAACGTTCGGCTGAGCAGCAGACAAAGCGCAGCCATGCTTTTAATATCACTGCTGTTCCCTGATCCATAAGACCCCCCCCCCCAGACAGACAAAGAAGGTGTCTGCTGGCTGTATAAGACATGGGACGAAGTATCAAGTCAGGGTGGGGGGCAGCCAGGCTGTCATCCAAGACCAGTGGGGGGTGTCGGCCTAATTATCACTGGGGGAGATGAGCGCCGGATGACTCAAACAATGAAGGGGTGGGGCTGGTCAGGCTTAATCACCCCTGTGCTGCACATAGAGGGGTCTTCTCATGAGCTCCAGCCCTGCCCAGCCAGACCACTGTGACCCTCAACAAGGCGCTGGCCCTCTTCTGGAAGAGTGCCACCCACCTCAAGAGCTGTTGGTGTAGTAACCCCTACTAAAAGAGGTTTCCCCTTAAAATGGGCACTCTCCCAAGGCCTGGGACTGCCCTCAGAGGCAGACGACATTACATCAGAGCGGTGGGGGAAGGGGAGTCGTGTCCTGGGCGGGGGGGGGGGGGGGGGGGGGCAGTCACACATAGCCAGAGGTGTGTGGGATGTGCTGCAGGGCTTGGAGCCTTGCTGTCTGGTTGCTCGACATGCCAGCTTTGCTTAATAAACCACAGATTCCAACAGAACAGGTCCAGCAAAATATCAGCGGGGTCGCTATGAACAGCTTTCACGTTCTTACGCATTCTTAAAAACTAGATCCAGGCATAGCATGTGCACTCTTTTAATCCTAATTATGTTTCTTGGTGTTCTTCAGTCACCTCACAGTCATAGAAGATCCTACAGGACCTCAGTAAGGGGAGACGACCCTCTAGAGGAACCTGAAGTGCTGTTTCAGTTGCCAAAATACACACACACAGCCTCAGCTACAGATTAACAACCACCTGCAGTCAGCCAATAAGACTCCCACTCTTCCATGACCGGAGAAACAGGAAATGCAGGTTGCCAGACACATGAGCACTTTGATAAGTGACGGATACCCAGGAAATCAGTCTCTCCAACGGTGCATTATTGTGAAGTAAGGAGAGAAGCCAAAGACGAGGATGATGCACTCTGAGTCACCAGTGAGGTGCCAAGACAGCACGCTCTCCCAGTGATTACCTCGCACACTCGAGTAACACACGGCGATTCAGTTTCCCAGATCACTATCTGCTCCAAGGCGCCACAAACAGGGCAACTCTTCCCAGGGAAAGTAAGAGCGGCAGAGCCTGTGGAGAGTTTCCTGATGCCTATCAGATGCCTCCTCTTACCCGGTCCTTGTCGTCTGCCACGTCGCACAGAACGTCGTCCAGGTCCAGGATGCCTCCATCACCATGCTCCAGGCGGTGAACCTGCAACCAATAACCGGGCTCCTGCGAGAAAGGAGACAGCACATCAGTGAGCAACATCTACATCATCATCCATGGCATCAGTATCACCAGGACCATCCATGCAAGCCCATATTTCTGGGTGGTAAACCATGAATATCCATTCATCCATCATCATCACATAATTTATCATACATTTCTAAACAGAATATTCCCATTAATACATTTTATTTAAGACACTTTTTTCCCCAAAACGATATGTATTTTTGATAAAGCAGGGTCAAGACAGTCCCTGGAGCAACTGGAAGTTAAGGGCCTTGATCAGGGCCCCAATAGTGACATCACTCTGAAGACCCAGGGATTTGAACCAGTAACCTTCCAATTACAGTCACAGCATCGTTATGAGCTGACCCACACATTGCCAGTGATGTAGCACCATTTTAATCCTGCTACACGTTCAGCTCTTTACGCACCATGCCCCCTGATGCAGACGAAGCATTAAACAAAAAAGGCATGACACGAAAAAGAAGGCTGCATCATGAACCGTGCTGATCTGATTACCCCTGGACCATTATTTTACCCCCCTTCCTCCCGGACGGAGCTGACAGCACTATGTTTGGTCCTGGTGTCCCATGGGCCTCCCACACATCCAGCACACTGGGAAGGTGTTGGCTAGCATGCTGTCGCTAAAGCCAATGTATCAAGCCTTTCAGCGGCAGAAGAGGATACAGTAACTCTGGAGAAAGATGGGGCTCTAAGTGGGGGAATTTGTCCCAGAGGGCACCCAGCCAGGACCCGTAAAAGCCACTGGGGGGGTGACTGATGGGGCCAGATGTCAAGTGTCGTGCCCTAACCCCCACCCACCAACCAAAAACATAAATATCAGCTGAAAAGTGCTTGGGGGGGGGGGGGCATGGAGTAGGAGCTACCACCCCGACTAACCACCAGACACCATCAGACGGCTGCCAGCACCAGAAGAACCTCAAACCCCCCCTCCCACCGTTTCCATAGTGAGAAGTGGGGGTGCTTAATCTATGAATCAGTGGCGCATTAGAGAGGCCTGTGAGATCACGGCTGGTCAGGGGGGATTTCGTCACCCAGGAAGGGTTAACTGGTTCTTTGTTAATCATCACGGGGTCCGTGTCGACGCCGGTTGTTTAATTACCAACGAGGCAGAGAAACACGTTAACCGCTGCTGTTTGTCAAGAAGCCATCCAGAAAGCATACAAGGAAAACCCCAATGTGGAACTTTAATGGGGCTTCACTAACTTTGAAGTATAAGACATCATTTTATTTATCATATTCAGCTTACTCTTATGCTGATTTTTCCCTTATCAAACTCCTTCATTGTTTAGACGTACATATGATGGCCTAACATTCTGCTAACAGGAGCTGCAGGCCTTTGTCTGCTTTATCCTTTATCCTTTCCATCTGGGCTATGGCAGAACCCTGTCACTCTTGTCCAATCAACAGCTCCCATGGGCGTGAAATCTGCAGCACAGCAAGAGAGCCAGGCCAAAGGCAACGAGCGCCGCACTGTTCACCAAGCCTGAAGGACAGGTTGCCTGATAGCACCGGGATAATGAGGCAGCACTGGTGTACTAAACTTAGTACCTGTGATCTCTCTGCTTTGTTTATGAAAATACTGCACAACGTTCAATCACTGGGCTCTGCACAGAAATTAAATTAAATTATTAAAGGTAATAAAATGCTGTGTCACACCAGGAACCAAAACCAGGGTGAAAGAGGTAAATCCCAGACTTAATTGCTGCCCCCTAATTCAATTAAAAAGGCTGTCACCGTTAAGGACGGAATACTTCAGCATGGGGGGGGGGGGGGGGGGTTTATCACTTGAGGGTTTGACCATTCTGAGAGAAACTGCAGAGACAGTACCTAGGGTGGGGTCTGTATGGCTGTGAAACGACCACTTTGGGGGGGGGGGGGGATGGGGGTTTCTTGCCAATTCTTTATTCTCATCTTGCACTTTTGACACCAAACCCATGGATGAGAGAAGCTCAGTTTGCAGAAGTCATGAGAATCACCCCTCTGGCGACAAGCGGAGGTCTGGGAGATCAGGCTGAGGAACCCCTATTGGCAGAAGGGGAACGTAATCCTGAAATTATCCAAGGATATCAACATACATTGGGAACTCAAAGCACACACTGGAGGTTCCAAAAACAAAGATCTCATTCATGAAGTAAGGAGATAATTTGAAGAGCTTCCATTGTGCAGGAGGACATGTCTTACATGGCATGCACAGGGTGAAACAGTTCAGCCACCTTTCACAAATGGACCAATAAACACACACACACACACACACACACACACACACACACACCGAAGGACCCCCTCCAGCTGTGGTCTTATAGGCTGATCTCTGTGTCTACATGCTTCGTTTATGCTCCATCATTAAACTATATACTGTTGTTCACCAGGTTTTATGTATTTCCCTGACCTATAAGGCCCACTGAAAACCTGCTCCCTACAGGACTAACTGCATGATGACAGGAGCAAACATGTACCTATAGAGGACAGAATTAAAGCACGGGATTCTGAACCAAGACCGACAGCCAGGAGAGAAGCAGCCCCAATGTCACAGAGAAACAATCCAGAGCTGCAGTGTCACCCCACTCATCCCATGGTTACATATTGACTAAGAACACTCTTCCTAGACAAGAAAGCAGCAGAGTACACTATCCCGTGCGTCACGGATGCGGTGCGTAGCCATTGGATTCAAACGAAAAGGGCAGTTATACCCTTGATATTAAATTACGCCAAACCCATAGCTCATGGGGTAACCAAGGTTCCTCCTCGTTTTGGAGGCTGACAGTAACTTTGGTCAGCAGACACAGTCCAATAGACTAAACAGATGATGGGAGCCAAGCAGGAAGGCTATGCTAATGGACTGGAAGGCTACGCAAACAGGCAGGCTATGGTAACAGGCAGAGGAAGGACATGCATCGCATCATACACAGAAACCAGACACACATGCAACATGCTGCAACATCACTGATGATAAAGACAGATTAGCAAGTAGCCTCAGTATTTACTGAACATCTGTACAAAAGTTACGCTAAAGCCGAAGACACAGATGGGAGACGAATGCTGCTACAGAAAGTGGCCTTATGAGTGTGTATATTAGCGACTACATAATCCGTGAACAAGCAGCTGTGATCATCCGCTAATTCACGGAGGGAGCTACCATTACGACATCAGAAATGAACATCCGTAAGCCGTTAGCATTCAGCTAACACAGGGAACAGCCCTACAGCTTCACCACGCACCCATTAGCGGTGGCAAGCCAAGTGCTGCAAACTCATCCGGCAGCATCCTGCTTGCCAAGGCTGCTAAGCTGCTAACACACAGAAGCCATCGTTAGCTGTGCCACTGCCCCTCTCTGGGACTCGGGCTGAGTGAGTCGCAGCCTGGCACTGGCTCAGGAGGGGCTAGGGACTGCTTCACTGCTGCCAGGACTCATGCTGCTGCTTTGGAAGGGGAGCAAGCGAGCTATCCGGAGGTGGGTGTTTGCCGGAGGAGGCGTGGGCAGGTGCCTACAGCCGGCCCTCAGGTCAGAGTGAGGACAGCGGCCCGTGGGAGCATCGCACCTTTCCACAGGCACCGGACAGATATTAGAGCTTGACAGATATGTGTTTTTCTGTTGCAGATACTGATTTTTTAGGGGATGGGGAGGACTAATGACTGATAAAGGCTCATTTTTTTAAAGGAAAAAATTAATGAGTGACACAACTGCTTAACTTCAAAATATTTAACATTAATAAAACAATAATAATTTAACTTTAAATAATCATATTTAAACAATGTAACATTTTTAAAAACAAATATAAAAACAATAACCACAGCTACTATCATTTCATGATTCAATTTCCGACAAAAGTAACAAAACAATGTTTCAAAATTGAGATGGTTTTAGCTTTACGGCGATGTTATTCATCAAGTGAAACTGAAGTTAGTAGGAGGAATTTAGAACTCTTACTTTGGTTGTCACGCAGGTTCACTACTGTAGGTGCTGATAAATCACACTACAACACTGATGAAGTGAGTGGTCTGTGTGACTGTGCTTCAATCGAACACATCGCACACAGCCTTCACTACATCAGCCAGAGGCCACTGCAAGACTACAAGGGAAGCTACTCCTCCTCTAAAATGTCACAAAAAATTATCAAATATGTCCTGTTGTATTTACACGGCTATTACAAAGAGTGTGCTTTAACGTCTTCAACTTCTTGGCTAGTTCATTCAGAATAAGCAATAGTTTCTCACAGGTCGTCTACCGTGATTATTTTATTTGTCATACATTACATTGCCATGGCAGCACGATCCAATTAAACCCACTGAAGTGCAGCTTCACTGGAATTCAATGGCACTTCTGCTTCCAGTGCAGCAAAGCTAGACATTTGTTAGACAAATGCTTCAAAGCTTCATTCCCAGGGAAGCTCGGCATCTCGGGGAGAGAATGGGCCAGTGGGCGGGCCAGGACTCTGGGCTGCTGCATGATGATTGGAGGAACTGTCTGCACCTCTTTATTATTGACAACATTTTGAAATGATACTTCAGCATCAGGGCATTTCAAGTTCAGTCCCATGCGCATTTTCAGCAAGTGAAGTCTTTTCATTTTTTTGATTTTCATTTGTGCATATCCTACTGTAAATAACAAATATGGCATTCTTGAGTTTTCTCCTTGTTTCGTTATTGATGTTCGTTCATTAGCAGGTTAGTATAGTGTGTTCACTTATTTCAGACTAGGTTGGGGGGGGGGGGGCAACTAGCCAGCTTCTCCTATTTGAAAGACCACCAGACGGCACTGATATCAGTGGATTTTTATTTCTGGCCAATCGATCGGTTGACCTCTACTCATAACCCTGGTATTTCAGCATTTTGTGTGTACGTGACAAGTAACCACGTCTAGGACCTGTGCATACATTTGTACCTGTATTTGCCCAGCTTCTTAAGTGTTCCCACTGTAAACACTAACTTTTTTATTCATTTTCAGTTGCACTACCACCTGACACTATCCTGCTAATTGT